TATTATTATAGTCAAGGTTATCATTAGAATGTGATGGTACCATTTATGCTATCATGGCAATTTAAAATGCGAGCCCTCATTGTTTTTTGTTGGATGTGGTAGAAATGTAACGGTTTCTCCTTGCTAACTCTTTTATAAGGAACGCTACTTGTATGCTTTTGAAGTTTACTTAAATGTGATTTACTGGTTGAGGTTGCCCATCTGTTTCTTTATTTCTCCCATTAAGTGAATATTTTAAAAATTAGTTTATAATAATTTAAATATGATAAGCTACATCGGTGGTTTCTTCTACAAATCAGATGCCAAGTGAAATTGTTGACAGTCAGTGAAAGTTAAGGTCCAATTCAATCAAGCTCACTTTTAATCCCAAACTAATTGTTCTCGATTACAAGAATCTCTTTTTCTCAATCAGTTTGGTGAAGGACTATCCTCTAAAAGATTTAACAAAGGCAAAAAAATTCTTTTCTTTGTTTTGGTGTGTATGTGTATGCTTAAAAAAATTAAAAGCAATAAGCTTTATAATCCAAATTTTCTTTCTGTTCGGTAGGATGGAATGCTTAAGCACAAAAGTACTTATGAAATTATTTCTCCTGAAGATATCGGGCTTGAAAGGTCCAATGAAGCTGGTATTGTCCTTGGAAAACTTAGGTAGGTATTTCAGCTTTCAGAAAAATTTCCTCAATGGTATTTTTTTTTTTACTTTTGATTTGTTCTAGATAGTGTTTAAAATGATTAGATGGATCATGGTGATAGTTTTAGTGCAGAAAATGCTATAAGTGGTTTTCAAGTTGCTTTTCAATGTTGGATGCAATGTTGCAATGAATTTAACAAAAGTAGCTGAGGATTTAACATAACATATCTATATATTTTTTGTCACCAGTACACAGAATATTATACATGGTTTTTTAGTGTATCTTATATCACGTCTCGGTGAGTACTTTTTAACCTTCTTTGAGGATGGTTGAATCGCTTCAATGGTTTGGATTGATCTTTTAATAGGATTTTCCTTGGATTTTTCATGTTCATATGAAAAAAGTGATTAGTTGCTTATATCAAGGTAATCAATGGGCTTATTTATATCACTTGAGTTGCTATACACAAATGTTTCTCGGCCAAATAAAATAGGGTACATTTTTTAGCATATTTGATAAGTATATTGAACTTTACTTAATATTATTGAATAGCTTGGCAAGTTATCAGAATTATTTTTTAAGCATAAAGGGTCTCTCCATTTGTTAGATTTCTGGGAAATTTCTGTGCGACTTGAATATAGACTTCTTTCTTGTCCCACTAAATAAAGAATTATCAACTTTTGCAAGATTGATTATATCTTCTGTTATTTTGCTGCTACTAAAATTTTTGCAGTTATGATATTTGTCACGTTCATGTAGTTGGTATTTACCTATTCACTTTTTATTATTACAATTTCATTTGTTACAAAACTTATGATTTTTCTCTTTATTGTTTTTCTTTTGCAATTCATTGGTAAAGTGGACGTCATGCTTTGAGAGACCGATTGAAAGAGGTATGCTGCTATATGGCATGTGTAAAATGGATGAATTACCTTTCTTTGCTTCATCTAAGCACCTGGTTCTTGCTGTTTACCACAGCTTGGTTATGAGCTTGACGATGAACAGCTTGGCAACATATTCTGGCGCTTCAAAGCAGTAGCTGAATTAAAGAAGGTTAATGAGATTCTTTACTGGTCTCCTGGATTTCTTTTCTTGTGACATCATCATTTTAGTCGACTTTTTGTAATATTTCAAATTGAAAGAGCTGTGTTTTAAATTTAAGCTGTCTTCAACTGTGGAATTTCTGTTTCTAATGATATCTTCTAAGAAGATGAAAAATGAGGGGAGGTACGTAGAGAACAAATTTGCATAAAAAATTCCCTTGGGAAACTGACATTATATATGCCAGTGGATTCATAAGCTTCATTTTGATGTTGAATGTACCTTTAAGGCAAAAATCACCTATCTTTCTTAATCCATCATGGAAATATGACATGATTAACTGTTGTTATTTAATGGTTAAAGATATGATGTTGGCTTGAGAAATTGTCTGTGGGCTTAGAGAATGACCACATAGGGTTGAAAGGTGGATGGTTGCTGGCAGGTGATACGTTTCAAGGTTTTTTGGGTAGCCCTGGTTTAAGGGTTTTGGTTGAATGATGGCTTAGCGAATAGTTAATGATGAATGTTGGTCGAATTGTGTTCCAATTAATCGAAAATATATTTTCAAGATCATATAGTGATTATGAAAGGCAGTGGAAAGTAATGAAAGCTTGTATCAATTAGCTTTTGAAGTTGCCATACTTCCATGGCTTTTTTAGTTATATTTGGAAATTCAGTTTATTTTGAGTTGATTTGTATTGTTTTGTACTATCTCTTGATCTTACAAGGCAACACTAACTGTTGTTCTAAAGAAGTGCTATATAAATGCTTGATTTCTCTTGTTTGTTTACGATGATGATGTGGTCTATACTTATTTTGTTTGCTGGTGTTCCAGAGAGTCACCGATGCCGATCTAATAGCATTGGTTTCAGATGAAATTTTTCAACCGGAAGTTGTTTGGAAGCTTGATGAATTACAGGTAACTAGAGATAGTTTTGAACCATAGTTGCATGAATGTGACAGATATTTCATGCTATAGTGGGCGTATGCTTCATTAGTTTGTTATTATGGAACGCAATATTATACAAGAGGTTGTGTTGCTTTAAACAAAATATATTATACTTTTGCTTTAGTTTGAATATGTAGATAATAAGTGATACTTTACTATGTTGATCATCTGGTGAGAATTGTATATAAATGGAAAACATCAAATGCAGGTTACTTGTGGAACTCTTGGCCTTTCTACTGCCACAGTTAAACTCATTGATGCTGCTGGGGTGGAGCATGTTGCGTGCTCAGTTGGAACTGGGCCAGTAGATTCAGCTTATAAAGCTATTGATCTCATTACAAAGGTTTGATACCGAAGATCACAAGTTTCCCTTTGTTTACTGGAACTTTCTTTTTGGGATCAATAAGATATGATGCAAGATTCCTTGTCAAGGTTATTAAGAGTGTGTCCATGAGTTCTTGATTTGTTATATTGAAGGTTAATTCGGAGATTATTCTTTCAGTTTGAATATTGAACTTAAGTTAGTTTTACTCACCATTTTAGTAAACCTTCTTCTTTCCCTTCCTCCCACAATTTTATTGTTTTAGTCCTTCGCCTCTGATTTCTCTGTTTTCCTGTTTATTCACTCCCTACTTATCTTCCCAAACTTAATTCGTCATTCGATAGGGCTTCTAGGGTGTAACCATATGTCTTTTTTAAAAATATTTTAATAACTTTGATTTAGAATTTAGGCTTTTCCAAATTGAATATCTTCCGTTCTTCTCTTTGTACCATGTTCCTCTTCCTTGTGTGAATATATTTTTTGAACCCGAAGCTTTTTAGTTTGATTGGTTCATACAGCCACTAGTAAGGGACGGCATGTATGCAACGGTATCATGTGTTCATAATGGTGTTCTGTGGCATCTTCTATATAAGGAGGGATTCAAATCGGTGACAACAGTTGATAGTTCTGCACTTCAGTGTTTGAATACCGTATCTACATATTTTTGCTAAGGTTTGTGGTCAATACTTCATTTTGCAGGAACCTATCACACTTCTTGAGTACTCCATGAATGCTGTTACAGAAGGCATTGATGCAATCGCCACCACTCGTGTTCTAATTCGTGCCGAGAATAGACATGTTTTAACTCAAGTTTTGACAGGTGAAGCAGTTCATCGAACATTTAGGTATGGTTTCTTCTCTCTTGTTTCCATTTCGACATTTTCACTACTTCCACATCTGAAATCGAGTGAATAAAATTGACGTTTCGTGGCAGTGGAACCGGGGCAGGAATGGATATCGTTGTTTCGAGTGTCAAGGCTTACATTGGTGCAATTAATAAAATGTTGGGTATCAAGGAACAAAATCAGCCAAAAGGTTCTGTAGAGCAAACTCGAGTTTCTGCTTAGGTGGATACACATTCATACATCATGTCAGTTTTGGTGACTCCAGTTGCTCATCTGTTAGCAGCAATGCTATGAAAGGTGGTATTATTGTATACAGAAATCTTGATAAGTGTAAGAAAAGACGTTGGTTTTTGTTATTTGTTGTAATAAGAAGTCAAAACTGAGTGAAGCCTCTTCAGGTAATATTAAAGACGAACGAGTTTGTTGAATAAGATGCTGGGCCAACACTTGTTACTTGTAGGCACGTATGTTGGATATTTATTTTTAACGAAAAATTATTTAGGTATTAGGAGTCAATTTTTAACGAAATCATATTTAATGTTTAGTATTTGTTTTTTTAGTACTCGTAATTAAAAATTTAACACGTTTAATACCTAAATGATCAACTTTGGTCTATTTTAATATTGAAATTTTTAATTTTTTTTCAAAACTTAAAGTTAAGTTTTTAACGGGATGCTAAAATGAAATAAAAACTAACTATTATCCATGGTTGCGAAAAAATTAAAAGTTTAAGTATTAAAATAGACTAAAATTAATAATTTGCATATTAAATGCGTAATTACTCTAAAGAAAAAGAGGTTGAGAGAGTGAATAAAAAAGCAGAAAATTTTGATTTGATTACGAAAAATTTAAAAATTTAAGTATTAAAATGAATGTTATTTTGTTAATGTGACAAGTTTTATATGTTTAAAACATTAACGTGATATTATTAATTGTACACAAGTAATGATGTCATATATCTTAGTTATCATGTTAACGTTTAATTCATATCATCGTCAAATTTTTAATAAAAAATAAATTTAGAATATATGAATAATTAGATAATTATTTTATAATTTTTAATAATTGAAGAACTCAATAAAACAATATATTATAATTTGGGACTATTTTTGTACTTTTTCCAATAAAACATAGCACCAAATAACCATAGTTGGAAGCTGACCTATATATAAAATCTAATATTTGCTTCCCCGAACCGGCGTCCAAGAACCAACGCTTCTCTCTCTTTTTCTCAAACAGTTTCGTCATTACTTCTTTCTCAAGAATGGCTGATTATGCCGTGGATTCCGGTTCACACGTTGGTTCCAAGCGCAGAACCTCTACTGACACTGACCAACAAGAAGAAAATCTTCTTCAGCTCCCCTCTTCTCTCTCTGAGACTACCGTCGACCGCCGGGATTCAACCCCACCAGACCGCCAAGATGAAACGGCTATCGATAATAGCAGTCCAAAGAAGAAAGCCAAGTGCTTTCCCCTTCTTTCTGAGGGGAACCAAGAAATGGGTCTCCATTCTTTCACTCAAAAGAATGTCTCTCTTTCTGAGCCTTTCGAGAAAGAAGAGGCATATGATGTGGAGACCAAAGAGGGTTCCTTTGGAATTCAACAAGTTGGTAGCCAAGTCAATGCCATTGAAGCTGGTTTGGGATTTGAGGAGAAAAGGGTTATCAAAGGAAAAGATTTGGAATCTGAAACTGTCTTGGAAGCTGAAAAGAAACGACTTTTGGATGAGCTTGAAGTTGGAAACATCTTTGGAGGTACAAAAGGACTTGCCTTGCCTGTTAAAGGGTCTTTAATGGTTGAAGTTATCGATGATACGGCTTTGATTGGATCATTTCCTCTATCCAGAACTGGAAATGGAAGTGGAAAGGATGAGAAGCAGAAGGGGGAACATGAAATTGATTGTACCAGAACTAAAAGATCAAGAAGAAAGAGAAAGAATGTAAAAGAGGTTTTGGGGGAATCTGGAACTGTGAGACATGTTGAGTCAACCGAAATATTTGAAATTCAGAATGGGAAGAAAGAAAGCGGAAATCAGAATAAGATAATGTACTCAAGAAAAGAGTTAGAGGCTTTGAGGTTTGCTAATGGTGTGGGACAGAGGAATTTCTGGAGGGATGTGTATAAAAGTCTTGGTAAAGATGTGATCAGAGAGTATGAGACTTGGGAAGGTGGAAGCATCAGAAGAAAATCGGCTCAGGTTCGAGCTCCGATACACGTCATGACTTTGCAAAGAAGACTGGGTCTACTGCAATTATGAGTATGTTCTTTTATGTCTTTTTTATGATATGTTGTTTAATGATTTAAGTATGCCTTTGGTTGCTGATATCACTGTTTACTATCGTCTTGAATTTCTATGAGTCCAAAGCATTAGCTTAATACATCATATGGATGCTCTCATGTTCTGATGGTGATGCAACTTTTGAATTGTATGGTGTGATATGTAGTGGTAACTGGTAAGCTCCATGGTAGTGCTTTGTGTTCTCTTCTGCTTTTAAGATGCATTATCTTAGAATGTGGCTGTGATGTATAGGCTTATTCCCAAAGGTGTGGTCGGAACTCGGAAGAAGAGCTCATTGTTTTTGTATATAACTTTCGAGCAATGAATGAATGAGATTTTGATACATTGTCTTATCTAAAGTATTAATTTTTAATGAACCTCATTTGGTGTAAGAACAGGCCTGTTAGTTTTTAGTTTATATTTAGAGCTATACCTGTCAATCTAGTGTACCTTTTAGTTTTTACTTTGTTTTCATACTTATCGTCCTGAAGAATATGCAACTATTCTTTTTATACTTATCTGCCACAAAGCTTTTACTTTACAATCCGGCATCATACCTGTGGCAACTGAAAAATGGGGATTTTTTTGCTTCTCTAACGTAGTGTCGTAGATTATTCTTCAAGCTGTTTCTAAAATTCATTCAACTAAAGAAGGGACTCCTGAAGGGATTTGTTGTTCTTCTCCAGATGCATTTTCTAATACTCAGTGTGGCTTTCTGGTTGTCTTGATTACAGCAAGCATGTTTCTTTAATGGAATTTCAGCCAGTTTTGATAGTGAAGAATTTACTTTTGCTTCAGGTCCTCCAAATTATCTGATTTCATTCTCTTTACTATTTTTTATTCCTTCCTCGAGACCATTCCTACAAAAAATTGTAGTTTTATCTTTCAAAAAGTTAAATAACTAAAGCTTTTCCTCGTATTAATCAGCTCTTTTTTTAATATAAAAAAACTGATATATTTTAATTGATATGGAATGTCGTAGACATTTTGAGGAGTTTGTTCTTCCATCGACTAAAATCCAGCTCATTTGGTGTCAACTTGATGGGTTCATTTTCTGTTGTCACAGGTGTGGTTGCTGGAAGGGGAACAAGGAATGGTCTCAATATCTTTGTACATTGAAGAATTGCCTGAAGCATTCTGCAAAAGACCTTATGTGCAACAATTCAACTAATAGGATTTTCTTGTGTATACTTAGGTGCATTATACCCGTGTTTAGTTCCTATAGGCTAATGTACATAGGAGTCCTGCTGTGATTCTAATGTGTGTGTTAGTAGTATAGATATGCCATTATTTGTAACTAGAACTGATAAAGTGATGATATTCTTTAATGAAATTCAACTTTTGAATGCCTTGCAATGCAAGTGTTGCAATTTTTTGTGTTTCCGCTTGCTGTTACTTGCTTGTTTATAATGTTTTTTCCGTTTGCTGTTACTTGCATTTTTTCATGTTTTGCCGTTTCTTTGGATTAATATTCTCATATGCACAAGCACTCCTTAAAGTTTTTGATCGCTTTCAGGGGAAAATTATTCTGAAAATGTGGTAATGAACTAGAGTACATGGAGACAATGAGATGGAAAATATTTTTCCTTTCGGTTTTACTCCTCTTGATGTTGAAGTTGAAGATGCCATTGTTGACGTAGAAGAAGAATGTATTGAAGATGATGACAGCGACAAAGATTACACCACCATTCTTAGGCCCGCTTTCATGGTGGAAGGTGAACCTGACTTCGATTCTGGTCCTCCAGAGGACGGATTAGAATATCTTAGGCGTGTCAGGTAATCGTCCATTATCTTTAAATTGTCAGTTGATTTATTAATATAATTTCTATGTCAGCAACGCCGTTTTTCTTCCATGGTTTATCTGTTTTCACACCTATTCATAGGGTAGCTTCACAGTTCAAACCATATCATAGAAAGTGCAACTGCTCTCACAAATCACAATTATTTTTTGAAGAATTGAAAGAATATGCTTATTTATATAGTTCCAATTGGTATAATAAGCTGTCTTCCCCTATAGCCCTGCAACAATTCATAGCATAATCCATTTGAAGAAATTGTGTCTGCATCGTCCCTATCATATGTTCCAAACAACAAATTTTTACTGCCCTTGACGTGATCTCTGTTCCTCAACTCTCTTCAACCATTTAACTGCAACTCCTTTTAAATTCAGTTTCACAAATTGAACTTTTCTAGGTTCAATGATGGGTTTCCACTCAAAATAATTTTCTATCCCGTCTTCCTAATCCAAATAGTCTTCAACTTGTAACTTTCCATGGAAATCATCCTCTCCTTCACTCTTCCACCACTCACTTCTAGGGCAGGCAACAACTGCTCTTCCAAACCTCCTTTTGCTGCAAAATTTGCCGGTCCAGCATTATGAAAGGGGTTATCAGCCTCTCCTTCATCAGATTCACCTGCAGGACCCCCTTCTGGCTAACAATCGATCCTAATAACCCTCTAATAAAGTTTTATAATAAACTCTTACTAACAATCCTATTTACTCCTATTAGACTAGTTATACTATAACTCTGGCTAAGTTGTATCATAATGACATAATTCATTAAATGACAAGAATGAAGAAGAACCCAAAACATGCACTTAATTACTAACATAAAAACTATTCAAAAAAAAAACATTAAAAAAAAGCAAATTTTAAAAATTAAATTAAATTTATGCTCCTGCATCATTTTGGCCTGTAGGTTTTATGCAAAAGGTGCTATGATTCGCATTAGAATGGTTTGGTCATCATTATACTTCCACAAGTTTTATTCTCGGAATTTTGTCGTGATTTCTCTGCTTATGGTGTGTTTTATGAAGCTGCATATACACAATTCTTTGTTCCTTTTAGTTTATGAAATTCCAACTCTTGTTTTTCACTAGAGCTGCTTTTTTATTTACGTGAATGTGTGAGATCTATTGCGAAATTGAGATTTTCCAAGATTAACACGTCTATGTTTTAATCATATCAAACTAATAGTCCTTTAATTTCCCTTAGGTGGGAAGCTGCTCAAATTCCAAAAGTAAAGATTGCGAAGCCTGACAAGATTACATCAAACAAGGAACAAAGTGTTTATATGCCTCAGATTCCAGAAATTGCCAACTGCCCCGAACATTTGCTGCCATTGAAACAGTGGGAGGAAGCATTTCTTGCAGATTTTTCGGAGCTACGTATGGTACGTTCTTTCGGTCCCATTTGATTTTGTGTTCTGTTTACAATAAAAAAAACTCTCCAGGTTTTAAGTTCATCAACATTTTGGGTGTCCTCTCGTTTTATTTTAGCTGTCATCCCTTGACTCCGTTTGCTAATTGAATAATATTGAAGTGAAAATTGTAACTTTGACGTTGGAATATTGGAATATAAATACATGAAGTGAACCGAAGTTCTTATTATCCGAATAATGCTATTTCCAACTTTTCCTTCCTGTTTTCAAAGTGTTTAAAACTGAATTTTCTGGTACCATTGACCTTTAACGAGAAAAGCTATGTTGCATGGACTCAAATTTTAGAGTTGAATACAGACGAATGCGGTACGCCCAATATGGGCAAGTTCTTTTTCTAGAAGTTTTTGCATATATTTGGAGGGTTATATCGCCACCTATCTCCAAATATGTGTTGGTCACGGATGGAGGGTCATATCGCCACCTATATCCAAATATGTGTTCGACATGGATGTCAGACATGGGTATTTCGACAAAAGTGGAGCATGACAAACATATGAGAAAGGCTTTTGTTTCTTTGATTTCTAGATATATTTTAAGATTTGGAAACATGCAAGACAAATAACTTTTGTTTCTTTGATCTCAGAATGTGTCACATATGGAGGATCCCAGTGCCGAGGTTTCTTGTAAACTGCCAAGGTTAACCGTTCAAGTGGATGACCTGTGTCAGCTTCCGGAGGGGGGTGCTGTTGAGAATTTTAACCATACAACTGGTGAAGTCCACTCTGACCAGGGTTCTTTGTCAAAATCTGCAGACGAGATTTCACCGGCTCAGAACAATCCATGTCCTAAAACCTGTATCAATGAGACTGTGGTGACTTCCCAACCTTGTCTGTAATACAAAAGATGGACTCAGTAGCTCGAGTTTCAATGCTTAGGAAACAGATAAGCTCGGTTGAGAACATGAGCTCATTGTCGAGGAGCAACTGTGTGTGGCTATTTGCTTTATGTGCAGCAATCGACACTCCTCTGGATGCCACACTTGCGCTTCCCTTCGTAGTCTGCTTCGGAAATGTGCTAATTTGAGAGCTGGGAAGTCTGAGGTTGATGATGAAGTTATCATGCTCAACATTTTGGCGACAGTTTCAGGAAGATATTTTGGTCAGTCAGAAACCTGAAGGTTTGCTTCATATCAGTGTGTATTTATGCTGGGAAGCTATTTCTGTTCAAGAGGGTATAAGTAGTTCTGTGATTTTGGCCAAATGATTGTTGAATCCTTTCATTGGACTAAATGGAATAAAACAGATTTTTATTGTTACGATCAGACCTACTATCCGAAATCAATCCTGAACCTGACGATCATTTCTTTTTCTGATATACAAAATACGGGATTCCACTAAGTCGAATTTTAGGAAATCTCTAATGTTTGTCCTTCAACAAAGGAAGCACAGACCAATTCCATTTCTCTAACAAAAACAATCTATAATGCTTATTACAGCTTGCATCTTTCATGACTCTAAAGCTGCCATTTTTACTTCCAACAAAGCTTGAAAACATAAAGATCATCAATAAACAATATCCATAATAAACATGGATCATGCCTCAAAAGTTCAGGACTTCGGCAATGATACAACTTCTATACAAGACAAAATGCAGTAAACAATCTAAATGTTTTAAGATGCCTACCTTTCGATATTTATGTGTAGAAAGATGAAGCACACACCTTCAAAGACCTTGTGGATAAGGTACTGACTTCGTGGAAATGCAAACCAGGTCGGTTTAGGATTCATTTCCTTGTTCAAGAAGGCTCTGTGTGTTATTACCGCTTCCACGAGCCCTTTCTTTCCAAATTTGTTCCACTTCGACGAATGTCAATCCCTTGGTCTCCGGCACATACACAGTAACGAAAACGACTGCGAGCAAAGCTATGCCAGCCAGGATCAAGAAAGTAACACCAGTTCCTACGGCTTCGGCGACTGTAAGAAAAGTCTGAGCCACATCAAATTTGAAATCCAATTCACTGTGGCCGACATGCCACCGCATATCCCTCGGTACTGCTCAGGGTATATCTCCGAGTTCACAGTCCATGGAACGGGTCCCATTCCAGGTGCGAAGAATGCAATGTAAAGAGCTAATCCAATGACTGCCATCCATCCATAAATTCCATTAGAAGAATCAGGTGTTTGGGCAAAGAAAGCCCCTGCAAGGATGACAAGGGACACAATAACACCTGATAAGCTCGAAAGAGCCAGATTTTTCCTCCCAAAATGATCGATAAGGTAAATGCCCACAACAGTTCCTGCTGCATTCATGGCAGCGACAACAAGTGACAGCAGAAGAGCAAGCTTATTAGAATTGAAGCCAGCCATCTGGACAATTGTTGGACTATAGTACATCACAGTATTGATACCAGTGAACTGCTGCAAAGCCTACATATAATCACAGTTTCTATGTCATAAAAATAGTTATAAGAGTTGTATTCACTGTAATGTTCTTAATTAACTCCGAGTACATTTCATGTTGAAAGATATAAAGGTCACGAGTCACATTAAGTGCATTAAGAATTAGACGAAGTGACGTCTCAAAAAAATGATGCGATTACAAGTTGATTTTTTTAAAAGAATATATAAAAAGAAAAATGTAATTCTGAGGGACCACACATTCCAAAAGAACGTCGATGTTAGAGTCCTTACCTGAAGTCCTGCCCCAGCCAGAAAGGCAAGTCTAATTTCTTTTGTTCTGAAAACATCTAAATATCTGACGGTTTCTTTCTCTGACGTTCTTCTTCTTCTGCAGCAGAAAGATGATCCACTTCATCCTCTAATCGAGCAATGTCGTAAATATTAGAAAGCACCGCTATGGCTTTATCTTTCTCATTCTGTACAATATGATGAGATGGTTCGTTAAAGGAGTATACAGGATCCACAGAAATTTCCCCAAAAGTAATGGATGTACCTTCATGAAAAGCCATCGTGGAGACTCGGGCATACAAAGCATAAGGAAGAACTGAATGACAGCAGGTATGGCTGAAACTCCGAGCATCCATCTCCAAGTTCCTTTAACCTGTTCATGCAACAATGTTTTAGACAGCTACTAGAGGTACTCGAGAACATTTTGGAGTGCATGAAGTCCTATGATGCATAAACGCCAGGTAACAGAACTAAATCTGGACCCATGAACCATCATCCTTCGCCTAATCATATGCTTCTCTCACCTCTAATAACATTAAGACCTCGAAACTTGAATATCCAGAATTAAACGAATATGGTATTGGCAAGAAAACCACTGGTTTAAATGGATATGATTTTATCAAATTATGCTAACAGAATCATACGCTTATTTCTCTTAAAATGCTTCAAATCGTGTTGAACGAATAATGGTTCTCCAAGATTTCCAGAATCATACACTTATTTGTTTTTATAAAACCACTGGTCTCTATGGGGAGGAAACACCATAAGCTTACCCCCAATAGCCTTAAAATTGAATATGTATTCTGAGATCAAATTAGAAGCCCTTAGCTCTCTATGAGTGGACAATAAGCATCAAAAGAATAATGGATAATAAAGCTTCTGATCTAACTTTTAGCTTCCTATGTTCATTTATTTAGCACACATTTTACAGAACATGGAACATATTTACGCTACATACTAGGTAAAATTCAACATGTTGAAAATAATGGCTGCACATGCATAACCTAACTAGCAGAAAAGAACAAGTGAATTCCGTCACTGGTTTCCGTTCAAGACCAATTATATGCAAACCCCGTATTTATCTGGGATATGGTGTCTCCAAAACTGCAAAATTGAACACCATTTCATGCCAGCAGAAAAAATAATGAGCATAATTAGAATAAAATTATCCAATTTTTCCAAGAAAATAAACAATTACCTCGGGGAACTGGTATTACTTAGAACAAAATTTGAGGTTTACCAAATCAAGTATTTATTTAACTCAATAACACCACACAAGAGAGACTGATAATAGTAAAATGCCTAGTCATCAATGATTTATTAACCAGTAATTTAACATGCACATTTGACATTCTATCTTCAGTTTAAATATAAGATCATCTTCAACCTTGAATCTTATCATAATAAGGCAATTGAGTATTACTATCTATACCTTTTGAACCAACTCATTGAGTTCAGGATCTACAGGTGTCCGTTTACTGACTATTCAGCTATAGCTTGTTAATTGAACCATTTATTAGCTTCATTCAACACCAACCTTGTAAATATTGAACTTCTAAAGCAAACAAATTTGTCTGCGCAGGTAATTGGGGAATTTATTTTCAGTTTATACTGATAGAAAACCATTTTTTAAGAAAAAGAGGAATCCTACTTTTTATAAGATATGTATTTTTCATAAATGCAAAATATAATAACATTTTAATCATATCGTAATTATCATACACAATGTATATATATATATAAATATTGGTTCAAGCAGATGAAACCAAATGAAGTAGAAAAAGGAAGACAAGCTGACCTCTGTAAAAGCAAGATTTACAAGGTAGGAAAGAAATTGTCCACCAGTTATCATGAGCACATTTGTGCTAACTAACCCACCCCTTACTTCTGAGGGTGATGCTTCGGCAATGTATATGGGAGCAGTCAAAGATGCTATACCCACACCTAGGCCAACAAAAAATCGTCCCAATATCAGCACATACGGATCGGGTGCAGCGGCCATGACAACTGCTCCAGCTGTAAAGACAACATCAGCAAGAAGTGTAGCCTTCTTACGTCCATACGCATCGTTAATCCAACCTCCGGATGCAGCTCCAATGATTGCACCTACCAAGGCCATGCTGACAATAGTTTCCTGCCGAATAAAAACATCAGGATAATACCAAACAGGGAAAATTTTGAAATTAAAAAAATTATTTACATGTTAACCAACACTAGGAGTAATATAAGATACCAAGTTTAAGGGCCAATGGAAACATAAACCCTCCATGTCACCCAATCGCTCCTCTTCTGCACCTTTTGCAAACATAAGATTTGCCTATTTTTACCAGGAATTAGAATTGCCTATCCCTATCAACTAAAAGCTAGCAGCTTCATGTACACACAAGCTATATAGTTTAGGGGAAATGGGATATAAGCCCTCCGAATGCCTCAATTGCTACCCTTCAGCACCTTTTGCAAATGTGGGGTTTGTCTTTTTTTGCCAGGATTAGAATTGTCTATCCTGATCAATTAAAAGCTAGCAGCTGCATGTGCACATGAGATCTTGAGTTTAGGAGCCATGGGATCTATAAGCCTTCTAGAACACCCCAATTGCTTACCTTTTGGTCCTTCTGCAAACACAAAATACCCCGTTTTTGTCAGGGATTAGGACCGCCTATCCCATGAACTGAAAGCTAGCAGTTGCATGCACTCACAAGCTATTTTACTCAGACTCAATTCTAATTGTAACATGGGTATGTGCCTGAAACAGGTATGTACACTTTTTTTCCCAAAAGTTCCATGTATTAGGAGGATCCTTGGAGGATAATATCCCAATACACTTGTCCGGGACATGTGTACTTCAAGAAAAGTGAAGAGTTGAGAAGCAAAACACAAAAGATCCAACGATGCTGCCCGTGGGCACCTGCTCACAGAGCTCTCAGCATTTCTACCTCTCCCATTCAATCAACCACACCCCCTCCCCCAAAAAAAAGGGAAGACTTTCTTTGATTCCATTTTTTTCATGAATAAAGTAAGTTTAGCATTTCAGAACACCTTTAAAAGCTGAGAAGATAATACCTGCAGGAAACTACTCTGATTGACAACCTCAAAGTCATCTTTTATGTAAAGAAGGGCCCCTGATATCACACCTGCAATTATTACCATTTTCAAATGAGAACTTTTGCTTGGGAATCAATGTAAAATATTTATTTTTTTAAAATAAAGTAAACAGATAAAGAAATGAAAACAATCATGTGTTCCAGTTTTGTTCAGTTGAATTTCATGAACTAAATTAACAGTTTTAGGGGTTTCTTAAGTTACAAAACTATTCGAATGAGAAATTAAATGAAAATCAATTATGATCATGTTAAATTAAGAGTAAGTCCAAGTCCTCAAGTTTCAAATATGAGACAAGAAATTTGCTCTCTCAAAGAGTTAGATCAGTCCAATTCTGATGCTACAATCCAGATTCTAACAAAACTCAGTTTCATCTGCTGAAACACAGAACCGACACTCAAACAAAACTCGGATTCACCGACTGAAACATAGAAATCTTTG